AATGACTTTTTGCCCCTTTATTAAACATTTTAAATATTCACAAATTAATATGGAAAACATGTCGATTTTACTGGTTTTCTAAGGCCAAATTAGAACCTGGAATTTATATTTTTCCCGCAGTGATGAATGAGAAGAGCCATTTAGCCTGTACGCAGGGCCGTCGCTAGTGGGGTGAAAGGTGGTGACAATTATAGGGGCCCCCGCTGCCCAGGGGGCCCCACAAAATCCAGCAGTTATACTATTTAGGCCCCTGTTGTATGAATAATTCTAATATTTATATTAGTTGTATGCCTGAGATTTAAATGAAAACCACAAAAACGTGCAATTTGGGTAAATATTTTTCCAAATATCTGCTTCTCTTACCCTCCATAAAAATGGTTTAGTCCGACCTAAAGTATTTTAATTATTCAGTCAGAGTCAGTGACAAACATCAGATGGACCCAATAAAATTGTAAGTCCCACCCCAGCTCGTGAACAGAACCAATCAGAGTTGAGGTGGCAGCCTGAAGTTAACGATGAACTTGGTGGAAGAGCAGGAGACTGACTGACTGAAAAATGTCGAAAAAAAAAAAAACATAGGGTGTTTCTCAAAACCAAGAATGCAAAGAACGGACTTGTGTTCTTGGGGAGAACGCTCTTGCTAGTTGTTCTTGGAAGAATGAACTCACAAGGTGACGAGCACACAGAACGCTGCTGACAGTTTGAGACGATGTGTTCTTGCTGGTATTGCGCAATAATTCCCCCGCACAGACACCGTCTGCAGTACCCAAACATAACGAGAATTATTGACGATAACAGCCAGGCTGCAATGGTCTCTTGGCTGTGGGGAAAAACGAGTCTGTGAGCAAACTGGCCGGTTGGCTCGATAGCTAACGTTACACCCGCAGGCGCTTATGGAGATTCTCACTTCCGAAAACGTTTGAGCACATTTTCGATTAGCCATACATTTTCGTAAAATGCCAATATTTGAAATCTACACAGTTGATTTCTCGCATCAAATGTTCTCAGAAGTGAATTTAGTGATGAAATAGTGTACGTAATTGTAGAAAAACGAAATACTGTATTGACCTGCCTCTCCTTCCTCGAATGCCGAATTGAATGCTGGGATATTTCTGCCGTCAAGTTCACACAAGTTACCAGCCGATGCATCCTCGGTAAAATGGGCGTGTCAAGAACACATCCGGGATTTTTAACTGTTCTTGCCAAAATGCAAACTTGTGTATTGGGACAGTACTTGGGCCACAAAAGATGACGTTTCACAAGAACACAAGGACACAAGTACAGACAAGAACACAGATTGAGAAAGGCCCATAAATCAGGTACCAGAAATGCCAGGAAAAGACGGAGAGGGAGGTAAGGAGAGTGGTTGTATCCCAGTCGATCAAGACGTTCTTAAAGACCGGTTATGTATTGTTATTTCGCTGGGAATTAGAAAACTTCCGTCTACAGTCTGCCGTGTACAGTCATTTTTTATTATCGGTGCGCGCCGCAATCGACCGAATGATTACGTGGTCTAAATTCCTGTCTTTTTACACTATTGTAAATAGAGTTTTAAAAAAATTACACGAGTCACGACGCATTGCATTATGCATCTGACCTGCCGGCTGATGATATTTAAAACATCGAGAAAACACGAATACAACACACTGCACTTGGATGAATACATGTATTCGCTTTATTTAATAATATTACCAGTTCCATATTATCTTTATTAAAAAATAAGGCAATAAATGGTTTTATTTTTTTAATTAGACTGCATTCTTGTCAATTTCTAAATGTTTACTTTTTGATTTATGAATTATAACAGACTGATGGGGGAAAAAATATTACTTTTTAATAATTGGTTTTTATTATTATTTAACAATTTCTTGCTTTTTGTTAGTTTTTATTAGTTGTAATTTTTATATAAACATTTAACTTTTAAAATAAAGGTTTTACAACAACATCACCATCTCCTGTTATATGTGGGCCTCCATGTTCATCTATTGTACAGTATATGATATTGGTGGAGGGTGGTGGGGGCCCACATCAATATTTTTTCAGGGGGCCCCGAATCCTCTAGCTACGGCCCTGCCTGTACGTGTCTAATCTAGCCTGATTTATAGGTGAGTTATAGGCTAATGATAATAAATGCGTCTGAAAAAACAGCGAGGCATTTTAATTGTTTATTAATAAACTATTGTTTTCTAAGTGTCGGCTAAAAACATATCTCCATCTCCGCTGTTAAGCAGATGCGCTTTTAGAGAGAAATCCACCTTTCACACGGATTACATAATCAGGTATTTGCTTTCGATTCGAGTTTGTTTGTTTAAAAGTGCACATTTTAAGCTTTAGCCTACATAGGCTATATTTTGTTTCAGTTCTCGCGCTCCAGTTCACGGAGATCATGAAAGCACGTAGTAGGCTACTGATTGTTTTATTTTATTTTACAAAAGCACGTTTTCTTGTTATGAGTTTACACAAATAAAAGTAGTTGCGAATAATGCATTATTATTTTCTGTATGACCAGAAATGATAGACTAGTTTAAGTTGTTTCCACTGTTGATAGGAAAATGCAAGTGTTCGCGCCCGCGAACATTTTGAAAGGTAATGGAAACGCGGCTATTAATAAGCTTGACATTGTTAAGATTATTATTAAGTCACATTGAATATTGATTACTTGGTCAACATACCCTTTTAAATTGCAATGGGATTTGTGGTGCTGGTTTCGGTTGGCCACGATTCCTATTCCTGTGTAGACAACCACTGTTCCTGGTGGCGTTGGGAGTGATGTCAAGTGCGATCGGTCGGTCGGACCATGTAATTACCGCTTATGCCTATGGATGCCGCTAAACACCACTAAACGGAGATATTCATTTTTTCAAAGCAATAGTTTTAACAGTTTTACAGATGTTATCGCGGGCCGCCAGAAATGTTTCGGCGGGCCGCCATTGGCCCGCGGGCCGCACTTTGAGAACCTATGGATTAGAGCCTTGACTAAACAAAATTGTCTCTCCCCACTGGATCTTCCAAAAAGCAGCGTCTTCTTCAGTAGAGTGAGTCTCTTGTAGAAAAACTAAATGTGACTGTTTTTGCAAAACAAAAATATACCATTGCGTTTTACATTGTCCTTTAGTCCCCTTGCATTTAACGAACAAAAAGATAAACGAGATTTCAACGAGAACATATACGCCCACTGGAACTCACAGTGAACGGATCGAGAGTGTCAAAAAGCTATCGACAATGAGATTAGAAAAATGAAGTGCAACACTTACAATAAAAGCCTCACATTTCCCATTTTCCAAGTCTTTCTCATCAGGCAAAAATTTGCTTCCCTTCAATGAAAGCGAAGGGACCATGAAAGTATGCCACTTTCCCTTCAGCTCGCGCTTGTTTAACGGGTGGCCAAAGTACTTCCCTAGCCTCTCGGTCTTCTTTATTTAAGTCCTCAGCGAAATGAATGCCTGCCTCCTTGCACACGGTTGATCCCTTTGACAATGTCCATATTTGATCTAGGTAGATTCGCTTTTAAAACTGTATGATGATCTGGCGCGTACGATTTCCTTCTCTTCTTCCAATACCATGAACCGTGTCAACCGCCTCTTCCATTTCCCAGGGCACACCAGGAGCAATCTTGGCCAGCAGGGTTATCACCTCCTGTCGGATGTTCTCGTTCTGTTTCTCTGACGAGCCTTTGATGCGTAAATTGAATTCCAACGCCTTTTGTAGCGATCCAATTCTCCTACCCTTGACCTCAGCTCTTTATTTTCTTTTTTAAGATCAGAAAGTTCCAGTTCCAATATAACTTCCTTCTGCTTGTGAGCTTTCATCTCTTCCTTAACCTCAGAAATTGCTGTCTACAATTCTCATTTTTTTGGACAGCTCCTCCAGTTTTTTCTCCTGCTTGTGAAATCTTCTGCCGAGGGAGTGAATTGCCTCAAGTATATCCGCATTAGAGATATCTTCCACCTGATCAGGCCACACTTTCTTCATTATGTGAACTTAGCTGGGAGTAATAGGTAAATTCTCAGCAGCGCATTCCTCCAAGACACGCTTGTTAGTTTCAGCAGAAACCTCCATCGCGTCAATATAATCATGATCATTTCTGATACTAAGATACAAGGTAATGGAGCTTTTTATACATTGTCATGTTTCTTTAGAAATAAATAATAGACAAATGGAGTCTTTAAACACCTCAGATGTAAAGTTATTCGCTGTCAAGTGACGCCAAAATGAATGGTAGTCAGTGGAATGCTAACAGCAGGTGAAGGCTTGCTAGCCAATGGCGGCCCCCGGGGAGACTTCAGTTTCCGGCTGGTGGATTACCCCCTTGGTTTTTACGGATAAAAAAAAGCAAACCTATAATGGCGCATTTGTTGGATATCTTTTTTATTCATAGGTCTTGGGAACCACTCACACATTAAGCGTTTTTGAAAAACACAACAAAGATAGAAATGTCTAGAAATGCTTTTTTTAGCAGAAATTTGTTTATGCTACAGATATAAAAAAATATATCAAATGTAATTGTGACTTTTAATCACACAATTATGACTTTTTTTCTCTCACAATTTGCAAGTTTACATCAAAATCAAAGTATAAAGCCGGAATTGTGAGATAAAAAGTAACATTACCTTTTTAATTGTTTGATTCTGTGGCAGAAACAAGCATCCATATTTTTTTTATTCCACTTTTTTTTAACGCAAAAAGGCATTCTGCATAAATGGGCACTTAGGATGCACATAAACTCTAGCTAAATAGTCTTCATTAAACAAGACTAAAACACACGAGACCATCATATAACTGAATAACCTCACAACCAACCCAAAGCTTTGGTCAAAGTTCACTGATATTTCGCAGACAATTCAAACGCATAAATACTGTAAAGAAAGTTAAAGTTTTATAAACTTCAGATCACCACATCATTTTATCAAAGAATTACAAGCTTTGGCATCCACATTTCAATGGGACAAATCTGAGATGAGATGAACTCATTTTGGGGAATGTGACGTTTTTCTCACTGAAGTGCTTTAATCGCTGTTGTCTTGGAAATACAGATTGACATATTGTAAGATATGATCGACAGCTTTGAGCAGTAGAGTATCTGTGTTTTCGTCCAGATCCAGCTCTGAGCAGTAGTTCTTCACTGGGACGATGTAGGAAGTGGCCATTCCCAGCAGCGCTCCGGCCTTCAGCATCTACAGAGAGACAGAGGGCATCATGGGAAGCTCATGGCAGACAGCAGGAGGAACAGAAAACCATCAAGCGTGACATACTGCCTGCTGAACGCTCTGGCTCCGGTAAACGTGCGTGACGTCACTCCCGGTAGCTTTACAGACTTGGTCCACGTGGGTCAGCAATGCCACCTGGTGTACGCCTGCAAATTAGAAGGGTTTTAGATTCATCAGAGTTGCAGTTTCTTAAAGAGGCCATATTATGCCCTTTAACAAAGTCTTTTGGCTCTTCTAGAATAGGTTTTCGCGCTTGAATGTTCAAAAAACACATCGCATCTCATTCGCTAAGCATGCGTACGCACAAATTTGTATGTGAAATCTGTACAAGAACGTTTTCACGAACTAATCATGATTCATCAATAATGTTCCTTCTAAAATTTATTCTAAATATACAAAAAATAAATAAATCTAGGAATGACTGAAACCAGTCCTATGCAAAAATCTACTTTTTCAGCCTATTTTTTTAATAATTGTGTTTTACAGCGGAATTCGTGGTGAAAAACTACGTTACCCATGATGCTGTGCAGAAATTCCACCAATCAGAAAGCCGCAACAAGCAAAATGCGCCAAAATATATCTTTAGCTCCGCCCACTCCCATGAAGCACTGCGAATGACAGAATTGAGACGGTCTCCTTACGCTCTCGGAATACTTTAATATTTTAATATACAGTATATGCATATTTTGCATTAAACTTATATATTGTTTTTATATTCCTCATTCTTCCCTCACACTTTGTAACAGATCTTTCCCTCACCGATCTTTCGGCTCAAAATGACCCGAAGCCATAAAATTATACTTAAAGCTCCAGTCGGCAAGTCTGGCAGATTGAGTGGATTCAGGAAAATTTTGAATGTTTACAACTCTCATGCCCCTCCCCCACTATCAACGGATACCCTCCCATCCAGTTCATGCTCGTTAGTGCGTGCATGTGCACCAGATTTTCAGTGAACGCCAGGGCTCTCAAGTGTCATGCATTGAGCGTGACAGTCACTCATTTCGGTCTTTTGTCACGCTCTGCCGCCACACATTGTTTTTCTCACGCTGAAAAACTATTTGAAATATATTTAATATGCCGCAGCGCCCAAAACTCTGGCCGCGCTGCTCTCACTGTGGAACCGGCATGAATCAAGCGTGTTTCCTCTGGTGTTGTTCGTCGAGCTACACAATAGCCAATCAGAAAATAGCACTATTGTATCTGGGTAAGATTTAACGCAACAACCAATGACAAAAATGTATCCAACCCCCCGTCGGCTGGGTGTCACTCTTACCTGTCTTCAAAACTTGAGAGCCCTGGAACGCGCCCGTCTCATCAGCATCCATCAACACCATGGAGTATTTGGAGGTATGCTGTCCTGGCTAATCTACCGATAGATTGCAATTGCTAACGTCATTTATACTCTAAATGAGCGTACTTGATTTTCCGCCATCACTCTTCGTTACTGCGCGAACTTCCGCGAACTTCAGGCGTGTGCATGTGATTGTAACGTGCGCGAGGGGTGGCGTGTGCCCGATCTGTGATTGACAGTCAGATCTCACACCCCCCTGCGCTGATTGGACATGATGAACCGGGAGCTGGGGATTTTTGCAAAACAAATAACACGCTCCAGGTGGAGTTAGAAGCTCGGGTTTTTTTCTAAAACCACTTTATTTATGTTGTTCTGTCAGATTATAGTGTCGATTTCACTGAATATGATCAAAAAAATGTTGCCGACGGCAGCTTTAATATTCTTTTTTGTATGTTATTTTTTATATTATATATTATATATATTATATTATATTATATTATTTTTTATTTTATTTCATTTTGATCATATTTTTTTCTAGCTTTAATGCAATTATTTTGGAGATTTTTTTGTTATTTTTTTTACTTAATTTATCTTTAAATTACTAGATTTGATCAATAAATAATGAATAAATAGTAATTTAAGCACATTCTTTACACTTAAATTCAAAATAACTCACAATTTCACGCATAACCCTTTTAATTCAGCTCAAAATATCTCACATTGGCTGTCTTTGCGACCTCTTGTGGAAAAAAAATATATAACCTGATATTTCATCTTGCCACTAGATGGCCTTATATCTCTTGTCTAGTCTATATGGAGCAAATGAGCTGTTCCGCTGGGCCCTAAAGCCAGTTCACTTTAGTGTGCATTCAGATACACATGTAGACATTATAAAATACTTTTTTGGTAAAGGTTAAGTATTTTTAGTTTGAATTTTGAGCATTTTGAGGTTTTTCTATGTGTACTGAAGCATTCCTTGCATTCCAATCATCCTATGTCAAATTGACCCGCGAGGGAAGGATTTGTTACTTTTTTGACAAAACTCCTCGAATCCATTCAATTTTTTGTGTGTGTATTCGTGTTTCAAGTGAGACAGAAGTCCTGGGGTCTTGGACCCTTCCGATAAACACTCAATTTTCTAACATTTAAAAAAATGAGTTTTGGGTCAAAATGACCCGAGGGAAGGATGAGGGTTGTAAACATAATAAACAGTAGTTTTATATTTCTCCATCGATTATGCTGTTCGCAATGCTTCATGGGATTGTAGTTCTTTCCCTCACTAAAGCCGTTATGCTCACAGTCTTGTCTTTTTGTCCGATTTTCAAACACTTTTTTACTTCAAATCAAAGTTTGTAATGTTGAGATTCACCTCGTAGCTGGTTGGTTTGGTTCATGGCTTATAACACTGTTCAGTGTGTGGACTGTGAACGCTGTGATCTGAAACAGACCCGACTCACCTAGGTTGCTGATGTGTTCTCTCAGCTGCTGGAAGGTTGTGCCGAAGCTTTTGGCGTATGAGGCGACCTTTGAGGCGTCTACTACAAACACCACGCAGTGCACTTTATCCGTGGCGCTCGGCTTCCGCACGTAGCCCACGGTGTCTGCTCCCACTGGCTGCTCGGGACTAAACTGCACAAACAAAGCCATGTTTCAATAACTAGTACCGCAATAACTGTTGACAAACACACACTTCCTCGACACTGAGTTATGTGAGTTTGAAGTAAAGAATTCACAGTAAAAATACTTTTCATGTAAATATTGTGTAACGCTGTAGGACTTGTGCCGCTTTAAACAGGAGAATCTCCTTTCGGCACCTGCAGATGTAGCTCCATTTGTTGCCACTAATGAGAACAGCAAAGCTGAGGCATTGCACTGTCCAACTCCATGTCTTTAAAGAACACCAAGAAATCACACAGCTTTCCCCTGTTACCCTGCAAGTCCTGATCTGAATACAGGACTTGAAGTTCAGACCTCAGTCTCCCTGAATCAAAGTGATGGCCATAACTTCTCAGCACACTTTGGAAGGTCTCCTCTGGAAATACTTGTCTCATGTCATCAAATTTCCCTGGATTGACTAATTCTAAGAAGAGCATATCTGAGGAATCTGCTCCAAGATGTTATCAGGGATAGCCATGTACAGATTTCTGTAGCGCTCTTGGGGATCCTGCAATTGGGTCAGACGGCGCTTTCTCATGGGCTCATCTCGTGGGTCTGATGTGAGATCAGCTGCTTTGGCATAAACAGCTTGGAAAGCCCCCTCTGACCTCTTCTCTTTTACCCCTTTTCCACCAGAGCATTTTGAGAGCCAGTTCGGAGCCGGTGCCTACTCGCGAACCAGTTCTTTGTGTTTCGACAGCCAAAGAACCGGTTCTCGGCCAGGAAAATTGGTTCCAAAGTGGCACGAACTCTTTGCTGGACTAGACCGTTCTTTTACCACGTCATGCTTACGTCGTGTTATTGTGGCCAACAACACGACGGGAATGGGAAAGCTAAGACGTATGGCGACGTACACAGTGACTTAACGACGTCGTTCGCTGGGCTCTCTAGTCAGTGGAGAAACAAACAGGTTCTGAGAAGGTTCGCAAGTTGAACCAACTTTGAACCAGCGCCAGTTTCGAACCAGTTCTTTTTTTGCTGGAAACAAGGTATCTGACAAATGCAAGAAGAGACTCAATTCTTTTCTGGCAGTAAAGAACATCCATCGCCCTCTGCTGGACAATATCAAAGACCACCTCAGTCTCAGAGAAGATTTGTTCATATGTGTACAATGTGGTGGAGAGATCCTTCCTCAAGTGGAGGAGTTTAAGTATCTTGGGGTTTTGTTCACGAGTGAGGGAAGGATGGAACGGGAGATTGACAGATGGATCGGTGCAGCTTCTGCAGTAATGCGGTCGATGTACCGGTCTGTTGTGGTGAAGAAAGAGCTGAGCCGTAAGGCAAAGCTCTCGATTTACCGGTCAATCTACGTTCCTACTCTCACCTATGGTCATGAGCTTTGGGTCATGACCGAAAGGACAAGATCCCGGATACAGGCGGCCGAAATGAGCTTTCTCCGCAGGGTGGCTGGGCGATCCCTTAGAGATAGGGTGAGAAGCTCGGTCACTCGAGAGGAGCTCAGAGTAGAGCCGCTGCTCCTCCACATCGAGAGGGGTCAGCTGAGGTGGCTCGGGCATCTGTTTCGGATGCCTCCTGGACGCCTTCCCGGGGAGGTGTTCCGGGCACGTCCCACTGGGAGGAGACCCCGGGGAAGACCTAGGACACGCTGGAGAGACTATGTCTCCCGGCTGGCCTGGGAACGCCTCGGTGTCCCCCCGGAAGAGCTGGAGGAAGTGTCCAGGGAGAGGGAAGTCTGGGCATCTCTGCTTAGACTGCTGCCCCCGCGACCCGGCCCCGGATAAGCGGAAGAAGATGGATGGATGGATGTGTACAACATGAACACAAACTCAAAATCCTCCAGTTTCCTAACAAAGCCTTTGGCACCATCAAGTGTATCATCATCCATTGATGTATCTGCAATGATATTATCAAATGCCTGCAGGTGGCCATCATGATTGTTTGCCACAATGCTCACTATCCGTGATGTGAAATCCCATCGAGTAGGAGCGTTTCTGGGCAACCTTCAACAGCCTGCAGACTCCAGAAAAGACGTCCTCTTTAAGGATTTTGAAAAAAATGTGGCAAACCCATAGGCTAGAAATCTAGACGCACCCTAGCGGCAGCAAAAATGATTTTGCAGCCAGTGTGGTCTAGCAACTCTCCGTTGGCTTTCGAAGTGGAAAAACCAAACTCTGGTCAGGCCAATCACATCGTGTATAGAGTTGGTGGGCGGGCTTAACACAATGACGGCAGAGCTGTGACAGTTCTGCACCGTGATTTCCCTAGGTGGTTTCCCTGCTACTTGAAAACAAACAAGATGGTGCTGGCAAGCAGCGGTCTTTCGAATCGGCTTTGGCCGCAACTCTGGAGGACTTGGAGTTAAGAGAACGTCACTTAAAAGTGATTCTTAAAAAAGGAAGATGTGTTCGGAATTTTGACGACCGGATACGGCAAAAGTTTAATATATCAACTAGCTCCACTGGTGGGAAAACGCATGGGACTCACTCAGCCACAGCCGTTCGTTGCTCTGGTTGGTTGTAGCGATGTCCTATTGCGTGCCGAGGGATATTGACAGACAACCGTTTATCCCGCCCCTCGGATTGAGGTATGCCAATTGTGAGTTCCCAGACCTAACATTTTGATGTAGGTCTGGCTTGCCAGGCTAGCAAACCCAGAGAGTGATGCAAAACAAATTCTGCACTCAGCCAAGCATTTAGCCCCCTGTGACAGCACCAGATTCAGTCTGTGTGCATAGCAATGCACAAACATTGCACTGGGGGCTATTGCTTTCACTTTGGCCTGCAGACCGTAGAGAGCTGAAGCCAGGACAGCAGCCCCATCATAGGTCTGTCTCTCATAAAATTGTAGCCCTGCATGTTCTCATTTAATACATCAAAAACGGACTGAGCATCTCTGAGTTTCTCCTCGTAAGGAAGACTTTCAAATGGCTTTGCGAAAATCAGGTCGACAATATTAGCACTGTCTGCCATCGTGTGCAGTTTGCTAGCTGGCTAGTTCACCCCTACAACGCTAGCCTAGCCTACTGTATGAATGAATGAATGAACAAACAATCTAAAAAAAAGATATTAAATTCGACAGAGGAAATGTGGGAATTAGGTTAAACTGAAACAAGGAATGTGGTGTAAAATTGTGTGAAGTTGGCTAGCAAATACCAATAAATAGGTTGCAGCAGTTTGTCTTTCGACTTCACATGCAAAATCTGCGATGGGACTGAGCTCAAATAGCTTCAGCGTCAGCGACTTTTTATTGTACAAATTCGCTGTCAATCAAAAGGAGATGCAGTCTTTCGACAGACCCTCCAATCATCACGCAGAAGCCCGGAGGCCAGGCCAGCCCACTCCTCCATTCACCCCAGAGACTCTGAGCGTCCGTGGGCAGGACATAATCACAGCATTTATCCAATGACCGTCTAGTTTCGAACCACTGAAAAAAACTGTTCAAAGCAGCCCCATTGAAGTCAATGGACACTCGGCTTCAACAGGGAAATGCACTGTGAAGCGCTACGGGAATGTATGAGAAGGAAATCGAGTCAGCCAACCTGCTATATGTAGCTGATTCTATACGAACTCGTCTTTGAGATTAACGTGCATTTTTAGTCAATAAAATGTTAACACAATAGGGCTTGGGCGTTGTGACGTCATTACTTGGCGTGGCCGCCATGTTGATAGCTTCGCAAATGTAAACATACAGCAAGTCGAACGAGGAGAAGTAGCAGAGTTGGGAGAAAGAAAATAAAAAAAGATGCTAAAATCCCTAAAAGGATGTGGAATTTACCGGCATACGTTAAATAGGGAAGCCAGGGACCGGTATGTGGACAAAATCTGCACTTTTAACGGTTTGGATCCATATGAAATTTCCAACAAAGAGTCGGCAAACAGTGGGAACACAGTTATCCGGACAAAGGTAAGCTGTGCTCCACCTAGCTGCTAGTTTAGTAACCGTTAGTGCTAACAAACATCCACACGTACTTTTAACTATGTGTTTTAAAAGTGTAGTTAGTAACGTTAGCTGTCAACCCTCCCGTTTTTTCCGGGTTTCTCATGTATTTGAGCTTTTTTCCCGCTGTCTTCCCGTTTTAGTATTTTCCTGTAAAATATCCCGTATTTTAATACTCTCATAACATTAACGTTAGCCCTTCCATCGGACCTGTCAGTCTCTGTACTGTTGTCCTGTTGCTACCCCCTTGCCCTAAGCATAGTTTTGCTTACTAACTTAAGTTTTGCTTAAAACAGCTACTAACTACACTTTTGAAACACAGTTAAAAGTACGTTACATGTGTGAATGGTTGTTAGCACTAACTGTTACTAAACTAGCAGCGAGGTGGAGCGCAGCTTACCTTTGTCCGGATTAAGTTACTGTGCTCCCACTGTTTGTTGGAAGTTTCATATGGATCCAAACCGTTAAAAGTGTCGATTTTGTCCACATACCGGTCCCTGGCTTCCCTATTTAACGTATCCCGGTAAATTTCACCTCCTTTTAGGGATTTTAACATCTTTTTCTTTTCTTTCTCCCAACTCTGCTGCTTCTCCTCGTTTGACTTGCTGTATGTTTAAATTCGCGAAGCTATCAACATGGCCGCCACGTCCCAGAATGCAACGCGGCACCCAAGCCCTATAGTACATATTTGACCATTAATTTTTTGACATTATAGGGAAAGCCGAGCTTCCCTTGCAGTCTTAAAGAAATCCCCATGATTTACACGACAAGGATATGCTTAAAACGAGAAGTTTTTCCTTCGAGTTTCATTGTATCACCTATGTAATTATGGAAGTTACCATTGCATTTAAAAAGTACCAAGCGTATTTAAATCATTTTAAATATTAATTTTACATAACCATATATACATTTATAAACTGTAAAATATATAGACATACTAATGTGATGCTTTAAGTTTTGTCACTGTATTTTCAACACTAAGGTTCACAAAATATACATATATAAACATTTTTCTGTTTTTGAAAGACATGAGAGTGTCATTAAGCAGCTGAGACGCACCTGGTGTCCCTCTGGAGCGTGTCCTTTAATGACCGACAGCGCATCATGGAGAGTCAGTCCAGTGGTTTCTCCTTCACCGACGCCCATGACGTCGCACATGACCAGAGCTGTGGGCTCGTCCGCCTTCTCTCCGGCCCCTCTGATGCTGAACGAGCGAAGCTGAGGAACACCAACCCAAATAAACCACGACTGGGCAAAATATAGACTGAACCCTGATAACGATCCCAGAACTTCAGCTAATGTTCTGGCAAGGCTCTCTCGAAGTTATGAGCAAACGTTCTTCCAGTAATGTTGATTAAACATTCATTCAAAGTTGTGCTAATAATGTTAGCACAAAAACATTATTTATAAATCGTTCATGAAACGTTTAGTTGGATGTTTGCCCAACGTTTGTTTAAATGTCACTACTTGTTTCAGAACGTTCAGAGAACATTCAAAAGTAACGTTTCATAAAGTTTGAAGAATGATGAAAGGTAATGTTCCCTTAAACGAGTAGTTCACTTCAGAATTAAAATTACATTTACTCCCCCCACGTCATCCAAGATGTTCATGTCTTTCCTTCTTCAGTCGAAGAGAAATGAAGGTGTTTGAGGAACACACTCCAGGATTGTTCTCCATATAGTGACTTCAATGGGGTCCAACGGGTCGAAGGTCCAGATGTGAGTTTCAGTGCAGCTTCAAAGTCTCGACACGATCCAGCCGAGGAATAAGAGTCTGATCTAGACAAACCAGCAGACATTTTATTTAAAAAACAAAAAAAACATGTATATACTTTTTAACCTCAAATGCTCGTCTTGCACTAGTTGTGATGCGCCACACATTACATAATCACGCTGTAAGGTCACGCGTGTCCCGGTTCATAAATGTAGGGCGAAGAACTCAATCTCATTTTCTCCTCCAACTTCAAAATCGTCCGACATCGTTGTTTTACCTTTTATTTGTTTGTTTTTGTAAATGGCGTTTGACTTAGTCTTTGCACGTTCGCTTTGTTCAAACACTGGGTCGGTAATTATGCCTACGTCACGCTTGACCTTTCAGCGTGATTACGTAATGTGTGGCACATCACAGCTAGTGCAAGACCAGCATTAGTGGTTAAACAGTATATATATATATATATATATATATATATAAAATGACCAATGGTTTGTCTAGATCAGACTCTTATTCCTCGTCTGGATCGTGTCGAGACTTTGAAGCTGCACTGAAACTCACATCTGGACCTTCGACCCGTTGGACCCCATTGAAGTCACTATATGGAGAAACATCCTGGAGTGTGTTCCTCAAAAACCTTCATTTCTTTTCCACTGAAGAAGGAAAGACATGAACATCTTGGATGATAAATTATCAGGACATTTTCATTCTGAAGTGAACTAATCCTTTAATGTTCGGATAACCAAGAAAAAAAAAACATTTAAAAAATCTGGAAGTTTTGAACATTCAGAAACAACATTTAAAAAAAATGTTTATAACATAAAACAAGCATATTTTTGTTAGTTCAAAACTATGCCAATATGTGTATTGTCAACCTCAGATTCACTTTGATTTCAAAGCTTCCAGTTCTAGTGATATTTACCTTCTTGGTGAAGCTGGTAGCGGATGATGATCCCACCATGGCTCTGTTAATGACCCGTCCAGAGAACACAGACTGGACAGAACTGATGAAGCTGGACTTCCCAGCGCCGACTGGGCCGATCAGCAGGACCCTGGCTTCAGTCACGCTCTCGCTGGCCGGTTTAAACGACCTGACCGACTCCATCAGGGCCTCCTTCGCTCTAAACACATTAAAGCTGTTAGATACCTCAATCTCACGACATAGACATTTTCCAAGCTGTGGTTCCACCTACTCTTCACTCCAATCCATATTTCTCCACTGGTTTTCCAGCAAGGGTATAAAATCTGTTAAGGTATAAAAAAAATAAAAAATGTTCTGAAATAGACAGTGTATAGACTTCTTATAATTATTTGCGAGGTTGTTTGAATAACTGTGTTATTTTACCTAGAGGAGGAATCTGAGTTTTTTTTGCTTTTTCAGTTTTGGGAGCAGATTTGGTCTCTGAAGATGGTGCTGGAAAAGGGCCCAATCCAAATTTGATGCCTGAAGTTGTGGCTTGACCAAAACTGACTGATGGTGGTGATGACAAAGAGGCCATGACTGGTTCAGGCTTGCTGCTGGAATTGGTGCCAAAAGGTGAGGCTTCAACACTTCCAAAACCAGGAGTGTACATTCTTGATCAGAGAAGGGGATGTTTGCTGATGTGCCTAGAATCAGAGACAGCAGTAGAAGATCTTAGATTAGTACACACACGACACATCATCCATAGCACCAGAAGAATAGACCTTATTTTACAGCAGCGCCATCTTTGATGTTTAACAGGAATGAAAGCGAGGCTGTGAGGGACATCTCGTCAGTGGGTTGGACTGTTATTTCATGTGTTTTTGGATTGTTCTGCTGACGAATCACTGCAAAAATATATTTCCAAGGAATTTCAGTAGACAAAAAACCCAGACAATATGCGCTGTGGAAATTCATAAGTGATTTAGGAGCTTTAAGGCATGAAGAATTTTTTTTCAAGGAAAATATGTTTAAATGTGTAATTTTGGTGATCAAAGATGAGTTTTAAGGGATAAAATCATTGACTACAGGGGGACTTTAAACAACGCACAGCATTACATCTTCATTTATTACAGTCCAGTTTGTCTTAATTTTATTTCATTCATGTACAAAAGTTTTTTATGAGATTAACATGGTTTAGATGTTGATGTTTGGTTGAAAATAGGTTCTTGTGTCGTCATTATGGTGATCAGTGTTAGTACTGAGGCTTGACTTTTACCTCATTTCTCTTTCAGCAATTACAATAATGTTTCCAGTGAACATTTGTGCATTGCTCAAAAAAGCAGATAACATTTCTGTAGTTTCATGACAGATTTAAATAGTTATGAAGTTGAAGCAAATTCAGCTGTTGTGACAGAAAGATCATTTGTAATACTGGTGTGATCTGTGTGAGATCTTCCAAAAACACTACAACCTCTGTTATGTGAGTTGAGACACACTTACACATCAGCACTCATCATTCATACCTCAACAATGGTGACGATTATTCATTCTGCAATGCATGCTGGGAGCCATGAATACGTTTTTGTATGCTGGCATGAAACATGTCACCATAGTTGCGTTTCATATGCCGATTGTTTATGTATGTGAGTGTCTAAAGGACACTGTAGTTAATAACTTCCTGCTCGCAATATGTTTTCATCATTTATTAGAATATCTGATTGTCGGATATCACATGATCAGCAGCAAAACCCACTTCAGTGAGTAGACTACAGATGTGATCAGTGAATCAGGCCACTTCATGATGACATTAATTAACAGCCAACATCAACTTCTGCCACAGTAAAAGAGTTTTCTGAACACACTGTTAAAACCAGCCAGAGATAAACTAATAAAACAATCAAGAGTCAAGAGCCCAACTACACGACACACTGATCACCATAATGGCGATTCACCGTTCTTTCAGTGTGTCATCACTAATGCTCAATAATTACTTAATGGAACTGGATAAATATCCTGAATGTTCTGATCCAATCTGACTTCTGACCTGTAATGCTGCCTGATCATAATCACACACTGTTCGTTCGTTGGCCAGAGGAGAACTGAGCGACTGGGTCTGGGTTCTCCCGAGGTTTATTTCTCTATTCTGTCACTGATGGAGTTTGGGTTCCTACCACTGTCGCCTTTGGCTTTTGGCTTGCTTAGTTGGAGACACTTAATATTCAACAATATTATTGATCTGCTGCATTGACACCATTATATGAGAACTGAACTGAGCTGGACGATGACATCACGGTTTTCTCCAGAGCGGCTATATATATATATATATACTATATATATATATATATACACTACCGTTCAAAAGTTTGGGGTCAGTGAGAATTTTATTTTTTATTTTTTGGAGGAAAGAAATCAATACTTTTATTTATCAAGGAATAATTAATTTGATCGAAAGTGACAGTAAAGACATTTATAATGTTACAAAAGTCTTTTGAACTTCCTATTCATCAAAGAATCCTAAAAAAAAAAAAAAACTGTACAACTGACAGACCAACAACTGTTTCAACATTGATAATAATAATAAATGTTTCTTGAGCATCAAATCCTCATATTATACTGATTTGTGAAGGATCATTTGACACTGAAGACACTGACACTGGTGATGCTGAAAATTCAGCTTTGATCACAGGAATAAATTACACTTTACTATATATTCACACAGAAAACAGCTGATTTACACTGGAATAATATTTAATACTATAACTGATTTTTGTTGTATTTTTAATCAAATAAGCGCAGCCATGGTTAGCAGAAGAGAATTCTTTTAAAAGTATTTAAAATCGTACCGACCCCAAACTTTTGAACGGTAGTGTATATATATATATAAAAATTAACTAAATTAATTACTTTTTTACAACAGAAATGCCATTTTCTTCTAGAAACAAATTACATTATTAATTTACATATATGCACTATTTTCCTGTTATCACTGTGAAGCTGCTTTGAAACAATCTGTATTGTAAAAAGCACCATATAAATAAAGATGACTTGACTTGATAATCTAATAAACTCTAGCACTGCTTCAGTTTAACACTCTGTCGTGTGAACACGTTTAACAGTTTAACACTCTGTCGTGTGAACATCTGAGTCGTGTTAATGAAACACAGGGACTTTATTACTGTGTAGCATCCAAACTTGCCAGAAAATGAGCCAAAGTTATGACAAGGTTCCCTGTTAGACGGGAAGGGTCCATGCAAATCGAAATAGATTTTACTTTTTGACCAATTATAACACATAGGCTATTAAAGATGTGATAGTTTTTTGCATCGCTAAATAAATGTCAGACCTCTCTCAAACTTTCAAAACTTTCAGTATAGCTTTACCAGTGTTTTAGCTATGGTTATTTTTGTAATGAACACATAACTCAGTATGTCAATGGAAACCAAATTAAAACATACTTACAACAATGAAGTGAGTGAAAGAGAGCCGAGGATCAAAGTGCAATGTTTGTCTCGATATCGAGAAAACGAAAGTGCATGTGGTCTGTTTAATTTCCGGCCAGCAGAGGGCAGACATTTCATGCATTATGGTTGCATGGAATATATTGTTCCAATATATTCCAATAACTTCGATACAAAATCAAATAACAAGGTTAAACATTTTCTTTAAAAGGTTATTTTATAGTGAAGTGACAGTCCTCTGCCACAAGATCCTTAAATTAATCGTTGACCCCTGCCGCTGCTAGCGTGAGACAGAAATCACAATTATATTTGACTATGACAAAATTAAATTAAATATAAATATTTTTGACTCCATTCAGTTTTGCATGACCTCGAAACCTAAGCGTGCACACGTTTATTTTTGGTCTTTGATTAATATCTTGATGATGCATATCTTTTCATTAAGCTGCATTTAAAGAAGTTAATTCTAACATAAGGATTCATTTTTGTCAATATTTTGTATAATCATCCCACCCCACACACAGTTGACAGAAACAAGTACCATAAAATCAACTGTATCTGATCATGTACCATGCTATTCTTTTAAGTACAATTTATTGGCATGATATATTGATATAATCACTCAGGTGCCATCTGATATGACTGTCATTATATCGCCACAGTACCATAGTGCACACTTGTATTTCATCCATTTCATTTGTATCAATTTGAAAGATTTAACTTTTTGTTTGTCATACAGTTTTTTGGAGGATTTTTTTGAGAGCCCTTACATCACTGCAAAGAAAGAAAAACACACACAAAGTACTCTGATTTTTAATTTATCAACTTTATTTGACATTTGAAAATATGCTTACATTTTGGAATCCCTTACTCAAATATTTAAGCCTGTTAGTGACATTAGCACACGCTTGCTATATTTATTTTTTTTTTGGCTGTTTTTTTTCTTCTCATTTTAAGGAAAAAAATCTAAAACATAGTACTTGTACCTCATAAAAAAAAAAGTTTTATCGGCTCAGAAAGAAAAACAATCAAAGTGCCATTTTAAAAAGGTAACGCATAAACTGTCGCACTAACGGCTTTATAAAGGATCAAATAAAGAAAAAACATGTTTTAATTGTGGTCTGGTGAGGCCCTTTCCATAAAACATTTAATTTCTCAGAAAGTATTGCAGCCATTGCTGTGACGATGTGCACATTAGTTGAGCTGTCTACAACACGACATTCAACAAAAACAAGGTGACCAGCAAAAAGTATTCAGGATTCAAATGACATGCTGCTTTAGTGTTAGTCGATAATGGCAGAACAATAAGGCATTCATCTTTGTATATATTTCTCCTTCAAAAGGAGCCAAGACAAGGACCCAAGGGACAATAAATGCAGAACTAATGTCACCTGGCTTTCACTACATATATGTTCCACAAAAATAATCTCTACTTTCCAACATAGTGTTTGCAATAAAATAAAACCTTACATTTTGAAACCACATTTTCCATTTAACATTTTAATCTTAAAATCATCATTTGGTACAAAGCACTGCTCTATTATCTTAGTGAAATGTTTATCGAGATGGTATAGCTTAATTTTTGTTCATTTATTGAAGAAGGTGGTTCAGTTTTGTTGTTTTATTGCCCTAATTTCCCCCCTAAAAGGAATCAAACTTGTTTAAGGTCCCACTGATACAAATCGCCCCTGCTGTGCATGATTCAGCGCAGGATCTGTACAGTGAAACGCTAGGATACATCTGCCGTTTACAGACATATCAAGTTTTAACCTGAACTCTATTCTACCATAGTTTTCCAAGGGGCATCGAAACTGTGCAAAATATATGAGTAATGTAGGAGCATGAGCTGGTAACATCTAGATTTCAACATGCTAGATATCCACACGATGCAATGAATTATATAAAATAACATAACTGCTAGAAATAGCCATAACAAATAAATGGCAATATTGTCTACCCTGTTTACACAGAATCCATAACACTTTAATAAGCAGCAAGTGTATATGTTAAATTACAGATAAAACGTCATTGCTGATGAAGAGAACCGAAATGCTTCATGGTAAACAAGGTAAAATGTGTGAAGAAATTGAGAGGCATCATTTTGCACATTATTTTGAAAGTGAACAGAAGTGCTCTAGTGACAGGCAGGGGTGTGAATCTTCAGATGTCTTTAAAACTCCACTTTGCATGCTGGGAAGGTCTCGTCCTGCATGGCGACAGTGCTGTTGCTTCCAAGTACTGTGATGGACAGATCTCGCTGCCGTTCATGGGTCTCCTGGTACCAGTTGTGCATAGTTATTGAATCAAATGTGGGGATCAAAGTCACCTGTAAGTGAACGGAAAAATATTACTTAGTAAAACAGTAAAGTAACTATCTGACTGTGACGGTCAACCTGTGCAGACCTGACACGATCAGGGTGAGTAAACTTTGCCAGAACTATCCCTTTAAACCATCCATACAACTGGACAAACAATGCTAGAGATTATTCATTAGGTTCTGCTTTTTGTGTAATATTGCTATATGTTCTGCACCTTAAGCTTGGGAAAGACGATGAATAAATAAAACATCTAGTTACCTGAACATCTGGCCAGGATGCTTTGCCCTCTAAAAGAGAGTCGAGAATAGATCTCATGACTTTTTTCTTGTGCGGCTCATCTCCACTAATTATATAGCAGGATGAGCGGAGGCGCCGGAAAAACTCCACATCGACAGTGGAAGCTGCCGAGCCAGAGGGCAAATATGCCAAATCCAAACAGACTGCACTGACAGAACCTGCAAGGAGAGGCAATAACATTACGCACAATTGGACTTGTATTACTGTCTGGTTGCAGCAGTGGTGCTTTGCATGAATTTAGAGACAACCTATTAGGGAATCCAACGGTATTGCTAAAAATCCTCACAGACATAAACTCATCCCTCACTAATTGACTAATCCATGGGTTCTCAACTCTAGCCCTCAATTTCCACTTTCCTGCAGAGTTTAGCTCCAACCTTGATCAAACTCACATACCTGCAACCTTCTACTAATCCTGAAGACCTTGAGTAGCCTGTTCAGGTGTGTTTGATTAAGGTTGGAGCTAAAATCTGCAGGAAAGTGGACTCCTAGGGCCATTGTCGAGAATCTCTGGACTGGTCAAATGTCCTGCCCGATCCCCAATACATGAACAATTCATATATTTCTGGTAGAAACCATGAGCACTCACTGGATGAGGACTTTGAAAGCCCTGGTCTAGATCCACTGGTAGCATTGCGGGATGCAGGCCTGGTGTCCAGACTGGACGTAGCCCGAAAAGTTCCACTGGTAGACACCGGAGCACCAGTCTTTGCCTTCCCACTTTGTATGTTTGCAGATGCAGTCTTTGAGGACACAGTTACTATTTTTTTGGTCTTCGACGTTACATTCTTGGACGATTTACCCTGAGCATCAGCCTCTGGGTCGGCCATGCAGGCACCAGGCTGGGGTGGCAGCGGTGGTAAATCCTTCATTGGGGCAGGTGGAGGGTCTTCAGAGACACGCTGGGAATTGTGGTGTAACGAATGAGTGCTAGGATGGTCATGGGGATGGTGGGGTGGAAAGATATCACTAGCTTCCTCATCAGAGTCCAAGTCCTCAGTAATGGAGGGACACTCTTCAGTGGCTGGTGGCGCATCAGAATCAGAAACCGAGATGAGAGAGACACTAACAGAGGACGTTGTCTCCTGACCTTCCACTGACTGATGATCACTACTACTGCACTGGTTTGGCTCTTGAGAGAGGTCAGGACTTGGGGCAACAACCTCACAGGACAGTCCCTGCTGGTTCTCTGGAGATTTGTGATGCTGAAACTCACAAGGTGAAACCAGACATAGATCGACATCATGTGGAAGGATGTCAATCTGTGGTCCAAAGAGGTGATTCTCGGATTCATCATATGTGTGGTGACTATTATGAGATGTTTTTAAATCCGTTTTTGGTTCGCAGTCTGCTAAATGTCCATTAGTGTATGCCAAATTACCAATATCCTCCTGTGAATGACAAACAGGCACTTGTTCAAAGGATAACGAATCATCTACTTCAGTGGAGTGTGGAGAGCCAACTTCCGCAGGAAAGGAAGTGAAGCTAGGAGAGGCATCGGGTAGAGTATCTCTAAGTGAAGTAGAGGAGAGAAAGCTTGGTTGTCTATCTTGTGATGATATGGAGCTGTTTTCTAGATTGCTTCTCGAACAACCTGCCTTTGAGTTCTTGCAGAATACCATCTGACTGTCTTCAAAACCGAGACCAGAAGCCCTGATGCCTGCCTTACAATCTTCGCCAGAGACCTGAGAAGCATTATTCTTCAAAGAGTCCATGGGAGAAACTAACTCAAGGGTTTTTTCGTCCAAGCTTGTACAGACATCCTCTTTGGGGCATCCATCAAGCTCTGTTGGAGTGAGATCCAAGTTTACACTTCTCTCACTCTTTGGAGTCTGTGCAAGTGGGGAGGAGGGTCCAATAGCAATGTTTGAGCCGGGGTTCCCATCCATACTCCGAAACTTCTCTGGACTTTCGTCAGTACCTTTTTTAGAGCCATTCACCTGCACATCATTGTTGCCAGAGGCACATTCAGTTCTTGAGTTTAGATTATTGCCTTCAACATCCTGCAATTGTTCATTCTCCATTTTCAACTTTTCCAATTTTGCAGTAACATCCTCAGGCGTAGATGTCTTTGGCCGGTCTGCACTTACTTCACTTGAGGATTTCCGATTGTCAGGATCTTTTTTGTCTGGCTTTGGCTTCCCTTTGGGTAAAGGATCCTTTTTAGGGACCATCAAATCTTTCTTTAGTGAGCCATTCTTGACAACTGACTTTCTAGAATCTGCATTGCCTGGCAAATGTCCGGTGACTTTCTTAACTTCCTTAACAAGAGTTTTTGTAGGTTTTTTGTCTTCTGGTTTGACCTCTTTCTTAACCTCTTTTTTCACATCAGGCTTCATATCTTTCTTGGGCTTTGCACTGAGATCTTTTTTCAAGGGTTCTTTCTTTTGCTCTACATTCTCATCCTTTTTTGCAATACTTGTCGGTGGCCGTTCCTCTTTCTTCCTAACTTCTCTCTTTTCATCTTTAGCAGGTTCTTTCTTAGTCACTTGCTTTTCAGGCTTAGATGGTCTTTGTTTCACATCATCTTTTGGCTTTGCTTTTTCCTCACCCTCTTTCAGAACAGTGTCATTAGTGGATTTGGTCTTTGTTTTAGTGTCTTGCTTTTTCAACTCTACCTTGCTTACCTTGTCTTTGAGTAAGGCACTACCAGGTCGAGATTCTTTGGAAATACTCTTAAGACTTTCCTTGCTCCCAGCATGCTTTGGCTGTTTATCCAACTTTGATGTCTCAAGGTCCTTCAAACTAACTACTGGGTGTTTGAGAAACTCTAGATGCTTTAGTCTGTCTAAACCTTCGAAGATCTTGGATTCTGGAGTGCACCCAGGAAACAAAACCCGAATTATCTTTTCTCGAGGATTAGCTGGATGCCAAACCAACAGGGCACATATGGAGACCATACAGTCTAGAGGGATTTCTGAGGTTTTTATGTTTGGAGTGCTAGCAGGCCAAGTTTGCAAGAAAGCTTCAAGTTCTTTGCTACCTTTGACTGGATTGAGTACATAAAGATCTAGGCGACCTACACCCATCTTCTGGAAAAGAATCACCGGCTCAATAGCCGGCCCAGCAGAGCGACTGAGCTGCTCTGGAAGAATTGACAACCTTTCTAAATGCTGTAATGTTAGGGCAACTTGATCACGACTTTGAAGGACCCTGGGGTCAGTCTGCAATGTTTTGAGTCTTTCAGAAGCATTGAAAAATACAACCCCTATTTCTGGAGATATCAGATTCTTCTGCCAGTCTTCATTGCTCTGCGATCCAGCGGACTCCTCTTCTTCTTGTTCAGCCACTTTTCTGTGAAGTAGGCTGTTCATACCAGGAAGATTATCCACACCAACATGGGTGAGCAATACTGAGTCGACTCGGTCTAGATGTCTCACCAGTTTCCAAAAACAGGATCGAGTATCAGACCCCCCATTGACCAAGACATTGAAACCATTCACAGCAAAGAAGGCACAGTCACCTCTTCCTCCAGGAAACACATAGCAGCAGGGACGGGACAGTTTCAGGAAGCCCACTGTACAGGGTGGCAAAAGGAGATCAAAAGGCGACTGAGCTTCAAGAGACTCAGACAGATACTCTGTGAACTCCTGAAGGCCCTCCATCTCTGGTAGCACTAATGGAGGGTTGGTTTTAATTTCTATATAATCTTGCAAATTATGCTTTTCTAATTGAGAATTTTTCCACATCCCAGATTGTGGACAGCACAGGGTTAGGCTGGCTTTCTGAGTAGGGTCTGCAGAGCTCAGAAGATCTCCAATCTGTGTAGGGGAAAAATAAAAACCTTTCTATTAGAAGACAGTATAATAATATTAATTGGGGGTAATTCATTTGTTTGTGTGTATTTGAATATCAAAAGAGTAAAATTACTACATAACTAACTTGTTTGACAAACAGGGGACTGACCTCTTCATCTGTAAATATCTGGATAAAGTCATTTAGTGAAAAAGACCCAATTTGCAACTCAAGGTCTCCAGTATCTTCAACACATTGTCCAGCAAGAATTAGCAGCTTATGAAGAGATGCATCTGAAATGAGCCGACGGACCTATGAAAACAAAGACCAGCATTAAAATGTGCAAGAATTATGGTTACACTTAAATATTATTGGAGAGAAAAAGCAAGCTAACGTTGAACTATACAAACAGGTATTCGGCCCTCAAATCGAGACCCTAACTACAATTTAAAAGGGATTAAAACAAGACACTTGGCTGCTGCTCTGGATAGCAAATATCATGTGCAAATATAACTGGACAAGGTACTTCAAGAAATGCATCAACATCTCCCTGTGTTTACACGGTCTAACGTTGGGTAAACACCAGTCAAATAGCTTTCATACATTTATCAGGAAATAACTGCAGTGGCCAGGAACTGAGGGTGCATGTGTGGAATAATACAGCAAAACCAATATTTAACAGTTTAAACATAAGAAAATCAATTGGATCATAAAAGCGAACATTACTCGGTCTTTGATTTAGGGTTGGGTAATTTAGCTTTAAAAAAATCTTTATATTTGCACTCACATTTATTCACTAAGCAAACGATTTTATCCAAAGAGATTATCAAATGAGGAATACAACAAGCAATTCATATTAAGGGGGATATAAAGTGAGAAGTTTTGAAAGTTTCAAACATCTAGAATGCATCAGGCAAACATCAAGCTAGAACAGGGAATGATATAGCAGTATTTTGATGCCATTCAACATACATATTTTCATTCAGAAGAAAAAATTTAACAGTGCAGTGTATTTATTGTTAAATATTGCTGTTCATAAAAAATCATCTGGCAGGGACTTCCATGCGCATGCATTTAAAAAAATTATTGAATCAATGTTTTGGCTTTGAGGTTTAAATCAAAGAGGATATTAAGAATCTCTCTAAATGTTTTTAACAACTTCAAACTCTAAAATATTTGGGATTCCTTCACAGTCTTGCGACTTACTGTCTGATCTATTGATGTCCTTTTCGAGAATTTATTTACCCAATAAAAAGATCATTAACATCAAAGCGATATTCACAATGTTGCTAAGTTTTATATTAGCAGCCCTACTTCAGGTAAACTAGCCTAGTTATTTCGAATATTCGTTGATAAAAAAAAAAAAAAGCAGCACATTCGAATGCAAAAATCGTGCATTCGAATTTTTGGAGTCAAGAGGCGTGCGGACACATGATGATGATGACGTAACTGACGCGGTTTGTTTGTGTTAGCTTATCCAGTATACAGCGCGGTGCGGCTGCGTTGTTAACATGAAAAATGCTGGAAAAAGGCTCCCATCTGATGAAAACCTTCTCAGTTGGTGGCAAAAATCATGCAACGACAAACTTGACCATACCTGCACATCGGTCAGAGCTGAGTGTGTGTTTTCATCAGCTGGAAACATTGTCAACAAAAAGCTCTCCGCACTCACTGCAGAACAAGTCACGCCTGGTGTTTTTGACGAACAATATGTAGATGTGTAGTGAGTAGATGTGGATTGTTTCTGAATGGCAGTTTGCCATTTTGTGTTCATGTAGTAACGTTACATTACGCAGACTGTTGAAGCGTGTTATGCACTATTGTAACCTAATTTCCCTTGCATGCAATATTAAAGAAATTATATTTTATTTAAGAACACTTGTTTAAAAAGTTAAGGCACTTTAAAAAGTGAATGTCATTTAATTTCAAAAAAAGATGCGATGCTTGATTTGGTTTATATTTGCTTAGTGCGCTCACTTGTGGGCATAGGAGACAATACAGCACTTTTTCCTCTTAATATTGTCTTTAGAATTAGAATATAATGAATTTAGCTTTTCGGACACTTTGACAACCCTACTAGTTATGCTACGAATGTGATGATAGTGTGTTGCAAACTACACAAAGCACTTAGACACACTCACCTCTGAACAAACCAAATCATGAGATGGGTTAACTATCACCTGGGTCTCTAGCACATCCCCGCTGTGCTGCAGTGTCTTCTGGCCTGCGGATGGAGACAGAGAGTGGGACATCTTTTAAAACGTTAGTCCATGAACACTAGGTATTAATTATTTTAATTTAGTATGTACAGATACACACAGTGGCCACAGCACAGTGAGAAACATGGCAGCCAAACAGGCAACACTATTTACAACTTAATGGAAATACCAGTGGGTCTATGAGCTCGTACACATTGAGCTGTGGTGCTGACACAGGTCACATAAGTTTGAAGATTTCCTGATCCGAATGGTGCAAAGTCCACAACCACAGCACCATATATCTTCATGTGGGTTTATTGCTCTAGATGAAAGGTTCTACTTTACTTCCTCAAACTTTCATTTATCGTGCCAACAAAATCCTTTCGAGGCTGTGGATTAGGAAGTACAGGACGTTAAAGGGGTCAGAAAAAGGATGTTTAAGACTAGCTGCATGACATGTTCCTGTCGTTCCCACAAACAATGAGCAAACGTGAGCTAAAGGTAATTCTAGCCTTCTGCTCAGCACCATGACGAATCGAAAAACACATGGTAGGAAGCTCTCCTTCCTTCCTGTAGCAGACGCTGAGCTATGACAACATCTGTGCAGCCTCGATCAGTCAACAGACAAATGGAGAAACCATATCTAGGTCTCCAGAATAACAAATGATAGAGGAGGCACTCGGCCGCTCAATCGTACAGGTGTGGGTGCTTTAAATTAAAAGTTAAAGGAGGCAACCAGGGCTATTATTATCAGTAACTAAAACTATTAAGAACATTTGTGTTAACTGAAAGAATGCTGAGAATAAAATATAAATATAAATAAATAAAATAAAATTTAGAAATGTTGCCTTGGCAATAAACTGAAATAAGTTTAAGTTGAAGCACTTTAATTATTAACTGGAATTAAACAAACTAACTAAAACATGAATAAAAATAAACATACCAAATAGCAAAATTATATACAATGACAAAAGCACTTTTATTTCTATATTTTTATTAAATAATACATTTTATTAAAAATATATAATAAAACTAAAATAACACTGAATGACATTAATAGTCATGTATAACAATAGTCAACATATTGCACCAATATGTCCAGGACATGAATCTAGCTTTCGTTGGGATCAATTCATTCAAAGAGAGACAAAAGACAAAACAGGAAATGATATCATAGAGAGGACTCTGGCAGAAGGTCTTTAGGTATTTTCAGAATATCAGAAAAAATTATAAATTTTCCATGAAAAGGCAAGATTATTTTAGTTTGTAAAATGTCATGTGAAACAAATAATTGCCCCATGCTGTGTGGTTTGGTTGCATAGTGCTATTACATCCGAATTTTGCCATTACCCATAGACAGAATAGTTTTAAAATATGTCTCAGGGCACAATAAAAGAAAAATAAATAAATAAAGTAATAATTGTAGTAGTCAGACCAGTAGTCCTCCTAACATTTTTTTTTTTTTTTAAGTACAAAACTTGGATGTTTAAGTCATTACAACTTAAATTACATTAAACTGACTTAATTAGCTGAATCTTGTATAACTTGTATTTTCAAAAAGTTAAAAACTGCTAAACTTATTTTGATGAGTTAAAGCAAATGTAAAAACAGATGTCAACTTATTGACCATATAACTATTTTACAGTGTAAAATCTGTTAACATCCTGACCTACACTGATTAAAATCTTCAATTTCAAAATTCTAACCCGTATTCTTGAATCCTTATTTAATGTTTGATTTCTGGTGCATAGTGCCAAAGAAAATCCACATTTAAGCTAGAAACCAAGGGCATGAATATATGGTCTCTGCAGAAATCATGTCGCAGTACTGTTGTTGTTTACCAGAATGATAAAACTCCAGCGAAGCTTTCCTCGACTACCTTCACCATATCTATGATCTTATCTAACAGCGATTATGCTGTGGCTGCCCTTCCCGTCATTACAAACATTACAAACCACCACGGCATCTGAAACTGCGACAGCTCTTCACAACACATACATGCGGCCGATGACATAAATACAACAGCATATGGAAATAACAGTACTCTTCATGTTGTATAAGGGACATGATCAAAAGTATTGGGGCTCAGATAAGAACATGCACCCAGCTGGTCCTGTTCTCTGTCACTTTAGTAAATAGGGGTGAGGGGTTTAATCTGATCGATCTGGTGCGAGCTTTCAGAACATACCGGTGGGACCGGCTGCTCTACAGTTGAACTACAGTCAAACTAGTGCTGGGCGGTATGACCAAAAATCAATATCACGATATTTTTCAAAGTTATACCAGTTTCACGGGTTTTTTTTGACGCCCTCCGACCGTTATTAAAGCGTCATACACCGGTGTTGCGTTATATTAAAAATTCATATCATAACAAAAATAAACACCGGTATTCGGTATGAACCGGTATACCGCCCAGCACTAAGTCAAATTATTGAATACAATAAAATAAAAATGCAGTTAGGTACACTAAGTTACTAATGTGGATGTTAATACACTATATAGACAAGTATTGGGACACACCTCTTAATTATTGAATTCATGAGTTTCAGGTGTATAAAATCAAACACCTAATCATGCAGTCTGCATTTACAACCATTTGTGAAAAAATGGGTTGTTCTGAAGAGCTCAGTGAACTCAAGCGTGATACTGTGATTGGATGCCACCTTTGCCATTAGTTCGTTCTTGCAATTTTCATCCCTGCTAGATACTTCTCGCTTATTGGAAAGTGGAAGCGTTTAGGAACAGCAGCAACTCGACCGTGAAGCGGAAGACCATGTAAAGTCACAGAGCGAACGGGTCACTGAGTGCTGAGGCACATAGTGTGTAAAAGTCGCCATTCCACAGCTGAAGAGTTACACACTTCCACTGGCATTAATATCAGCACAAAACCTGTGTGGCGGGAGCTTCACGGAGTGGGTTTCTATGGCCGAGCAGCTGCAGGCAAACCTCACTTCACCAAGAGGTGGTGTAAAGCACACCGCCACTGGACTCTGAAGCGGTGGAGACGTGTTCTCTGGAGTGACGAATCACACTTCTCTGTGTGGCAGTCTGATGGATGAGTCTGGGTTTGGCGGATGCCAGGAGAACGGTCCCTGCCTGACTGCACTGTGCCAACTGTACTGTTTGGTGGAGGGGGGATTATGGTGCGGGGTTGTTTTTCAGCGGATGTACTTGGCTTCTTACTTCCAGTGAAAGGAAAACTTAATCCTTCAGCATACCAAGACATTTTGGACAAATTATTGCTTCCAACTTTGTGGGAACAGTTTGAGGAAGGCCATTTCTTTTCCAGCATGACTGCGCTCCAGTGCACAAAACAAGGTCTATAAAGACATGTTTGTATGAGTTTGGTGTGGAGGAACTGAGTGGCCTGCACTGAGCCCTGACCTCAACCCCATCCAACAGCTTTGGGATGAACTGCAACGGAGATTATGAGACAGGCCGACATCGGGGCCTGACCTCACAAATGCTCTACTGGATTGAATGAGAAAAAAAAACAAAAAAAAACCCACAGACACTTGTGGAAAGCCTTCCCAGAAGAGTGGGAGCTGTTATAGCTGCAAAGGGGGAACAGCTCCATATAAATGTGTGTTTTGAATGCAATGCCCTGTTGCTGTAATCATCAGGTGTCCCTAAACTTGTCTTTTTAGACAAATCAAATGATACAGTTAAAGGAAGATCTCAATCAGCATTGCAGCATTAAACTTGAACACAAACTACATACATATATATATATATATATATATATATATATATAAATAGCTGTTTATTATGAACACAATACCATTAAATAAAGACAATAAAACACTACAATCGGACTTTGAACACTAAGTATATTGACCTTTGTTAAATGTTACTTGGTTAATAAAAATACAACTTGAAAATGAATATTTTCTCTAGATTGAGGCAGATCTCCAGAAACAGCTTTGTCTCTTTGGTCATGGGAAAAAAAGTCACTACTTCCAAAAGTATACAGAACCCAAATATCTATTAGATGGGAAAGCTGGGAACTCATGCGGGACAAAAACACTCACCAATGGGGTCCAATATAAGCATGTTTTATAATTCAATACCATATAGACAGCACTGTGGATATAAATCCGTTTCCAGGTACAGGAAGGATAAAACGGCTTGACAAGAGATAGACTGGCATTCCTGAACAGCTGCTCCATGATTAGTCAGGATTAGTCAGCATATGTGCCTGGAAATGACTGGGACAGTATATATATACCCGTCCCATTCAGCAGGACATAAGTGTGAAAGATGCTGCCAATGTCTTCAGGGACGTACAGACAGAGACGGTGGTAATGAAGTTTTCCCCTGCTGGTCCCTGACGCTTCAACACAGTGCCTTCATTGTACAAGCCCAATCAAAACACTGAAAGCTTGAGCTCCCTGTGATCTAAAAGGCACAAACAAATTATTAATTCTTAAACGACACAAAGAAAAATGTTTCAGTCTGTTTGTGCTGCAGTGAAAGGCAGTGTTGTTCTGGGCACAGAGGGGTTTACAGATATAGACGGGTCCTTTGAGCGGATTCCTCTGTGAGGTGACGCTCACGAAAAGAACAGTTTGAGCCGGAGGGGAAGTTCAGATCAGGGAGACTCTTTTACATTCGCTATAACATCTAAGACAGGGTAGGAATTATCAACAACATCTCATCTTAGGGCACCGTTTTCAACAAAAAACTGAAAACTTGATGCGTTTTGGTCGTTCATTAACATGACAGCAGCGTTTTGGAGGCCTGAACCCGCAAACTTTGAAAACGTGTTTTAAAGTGCAAGTTTTTGAAAATGATAACGTTATCGTCTCTGTGTAAACTACAAAAACATGAATCTGTGAAAATGCGCATGTGTATTACGTGTTCAGTCTATAGGCGCGCAGTGTTTCTTTACAAAGTAACCGCCACCTACTGGCCAGGCATGAATACTACAGCGTTTTCAGACGTTTTCACGGATCCGTGTGAACGGGGATAGATTTGACTAGGTTGTCGTCTATAGCCTACGTGAAAAATTCAAAGGAAAGACGTT